AAAAGATTCTATTTTTTATTTGACAGAGAGAGACACAGGAAGAGGGGGAACACAAGTAGGGAGAGTGAGAGAGGGAGAAGCAAGCTTCCCACTGAGCAAGGAGCCCGATTCAGGGCTCGATCCAGGGTCCTGGGATCATGAACTGAGCCGAAGGCAAATGCTCAATGACTGAGGCACCCAGATATCCCACAAGTGCTTTTTTCTTGGAGACAACCATCATGCTTGGGGATGCAGCAGAAGTGCTTTATGTGTACCTCCTATGTCACACAAATATTTAAAAGACTTATAGCCAAGGATTGAGATTTAATGAAATTAATAATATTTTACTGCTTTACCAAGGTTATTCTTTTTTTTAAAAAGATTTTATTTATGTATTTGAGGGAGAGAGAGAGAGAGAAAAAGTGAGAGAGACAGAGAGAGAGCATGAGCAGGGGGTAGGGGCAGAGGGAGAGGGAGAAGCAGACTCCCCACTGAGCAGGGAGCCCGAAGTGGGGCTCAATCCCAGGACCCTGTGATAATGACCTGAGCCCAAGGCAGACACTTGACCAACTGAGGGACCCAGGTGACCCCATCAAGGTCATTCTTAAATGAAACTGTTTTGTTTTAAACTGTGAGTGTGTGATAGGGAAGAATACAGTGAGTACTAGTATCCTTTGATGGTACTGCCTTGATTCATATTAAGGCACCAGTAGTTTTACCCATAATACCTTTTGTATCCTTAGTGTAAATGTCAGCACAGTGAAAAGGGCAAATAATGTCTTAATATTGTTATAGAAAAATCATTTTGATCTGATAATAGCTTCTCAGCTGGAGTTTTAACTCCCACCACACATCCACCCAACCCCCACGGAGGGGATTTAAAGACAAGTTTTTTTTAAAAAAAGGAGTTTCGGTGCACCTGGGTGGCTCAGTGGGTTAAAGCCTCTGCCTTCTGCTCAGGTCATGATCCCAGAGTCCTGGGATCTCTGCCTACTTGTGAACTCTGTCAAGTAAATAAATAAAATCTTAAAAAAAAAAAAAAAAAAAGGAGTCTCATTTGTTTCTAGGTCCTGAATTATTCCAGCTGTTTTAGAACCATCAAAGTCTTGATAATGACTGCCTTTATCAATGTGGACATTTTACCTCCTCCTTTTTGTTCTATAGATAAGTTAAGGCAGCCTTTTGGTCTGCAGATCTCATTGCTATTTGCTATTGGTTCTTTTAGGCTTATGGTAGGCCTAAAGTTTCTATTCAAAGAGCTCCTCTGCTTTCTCCTAATTGTTGCTGTGAGATGGGCAGCTGAGGATCCTTAACCATCCATAACGACAAGACACATGGACTTTGCCATATTGTTTGGAGCCATTCAAAAAATACATGAAAAGAAAGTACATTTCTTCACTTTGAAATGATCACCTCATCCTTCCTCACCAAAGTGGGGATTGTGTGGCAACCCTAGAATCTTAAAACTATAGCTTCCTACTGAGAAAATTGCATTTGATTCTGTGTGACTGTTTTATTTTGAAATTCATAAGCAGATGAGTGGTTTCTAGCATGTCCTTTTTTATATTATGATGATGAAACAGCTCATCCATTTATAGTACTTTGGAAATCACTTCATAATTAATCCTAATAGTACTGTAAATAAAATTAAGTATCGTTCTACCTATTTCACAGCTGAGGTTTTTTTTTTTTTTAAATACTTATTTATTTATTAGAGAGTGCATTCATGTGCACCCATGAGTGAGAGGGAGGGAGAGAGAGAATTCCAGCAGACTCCCCACTGAGCACGGAGCCTGATGCGGGGTTTGATCCTATGACCCCAAGACTATGACCTGAGCCAAAACCAAAAGTTGGGCACTCAAGCAGCTGAGCCACCCAGGCATCCCTACAGCTGAGATATTGAGGCACCCAGACAATTCAGGGGTTTGTATAAAATCACAAAGCTTAGAAGTCATCCTCTGGACACTTCTGTCAGCATGCAAGAAATAGAAATTAATATGCTATTACAGCTGCCATATTGTCAATACCCAGAGCGGTGTCTGGCACATAGTAGAACTCAGTAAGTACTTGTTGAGTCAATGAATGGACTTTTCTTTTCAGGCCTGTATTGATGAAAATTTGGACATGGTGAAGTTTCTGGTGGAGAACAGGGCCAATGTAAACCAGCAGGACAACGAGGGCTGGACACCTCTTCATGCAGCAGCTTCCTGTGGCTATCTCAACATAGCAGAGTGAGTCTCTGTTTGGGTTTGGATTATTTGTAGGAATAGCCTTCATTTCTCTTCTACTCTTAAAAACTTGAATTCATAAATAGTTATCATTTATATTACAAATTATAAAAGTGGGAGGTTGAATAATTTTTAAGAAATAATTGATACTGTGTTTTTATATACCTGCTAAATCCACAATTTTTTTTAATATTTATTTATTTATTTTAGAGCGAGAGAAAGAAAGACAGTGCAAATCAGGGGAGGGACAGAGGGAGAGAATCTTCAGGTGGACTCCCCGCTGAGCGCAGAGCCCAGCATGGGGCTCCATCTCATGACCCATGAGATCATGACCGGAACCAAAACCAGGAGTCATCTGCTCAACCAACTGACCAACCAAGTGCCCCAAATCCACAGTTTTGTAGTTGAAAATTTTTGTTTGTTTCTATTCTCCGGTAATTCATACTTGCTGAGCTATTAGGAGGTGGCTTCTGTTGAACTCTCTGGGTCACAAATATGTGGGCAGGCCTAGAGATTTTTTCTGGACTTCTTTGTAAACTTGTTTTATTGTTTAAGAAAAAAAAAATCAGTGCTCAGTACAAATGAAGGTGGAGAATTCCTGCATACTGATCACAATACCCATACAGTTAATAGCAGAAGAATGAGCCTAAACATGGAACAAAGGAAGGGTAGGGTTTGGCATGTGTTCTCCACATTAGTGGAATGGGTATGTTTATTAAGACACATAGATAGCTCCTGACCTCCATGACAGCCACTTGTCCCTGTTTTGGGCAGAAGAATCCTGGCCACATCATGTCTGGTATACAAGGGGTACTAAATAAATGTTGAATGAAGGAATGAAGGTTATTGTTATTTTTATATTATGTATTTATTTTAAAAATTTAATTAATTTATTTTTTAAAGATTTCACTTACTTTGAGAGAGAGAATACACATGCAAGTAGGAGGAGGGACAGAGGCAGAGGCAAAGGGAGAGCGAGAATCTCAAGCAGGTTCCATACTGAGCATGGAGCCCAACATGGGGCTCAGTCTCACTACGCTGAGATCAGGACCTGAGCCGAAATCAGGTGCTGGCCACTTAACCAAGTGACCCACCCAGACACCTCTGTTTATTTCTTTTTACATAATCTCTACGTTCAGATGGGGTTTGAACTCACAACCCAAAGATCAAGAGTCATAGGCTCCACCAACTGAGCTAGCCAAGCACCCTTGAAGGTTTTTTTTTTTTTTTTTTAAGATTTATTTATTTATTCTTGAAATAGAGAGAGCAAGAGTGAGTGTGCCTGTGAGTTGGGGGAGGGACAGATGGAGAGAATCTCAAGCAGACTCCCTGCTGAGTTGCAGCACCTCTCATGACCCTGATCTCCTGCCCTGAGCAGAAACTGATAGTCAGACACTGAACCAGCTGAGCCACTCAGGCACCTCCGAAGGAAAGAGGCTGGGTGGCTCAGTGGGTTAAAGCCTCTGCCTTTGGCTCAGGTCATGATCCCAGGGTCCTGGGATCGAGCCCTGCATCAGGCTCTCTGCTCCCCAGGAAGCCTGCTTCCTCCTCTCTCTCTCTGCCTGCCTCTCTGCCTACTTGTGATCTCTGTCAAATAAATAAATAAAATCTTAAAAAATATATATATAAATAAATAAATAGGAAAGAGGCTTAGCAGTTAAAACATCTTTAAAATGAGACGGTTGAGTATATTCTAGATAAGAGTAGATTTAGGTTGATAAGGTAAATTCACTAAATAAAATCATGATATTCTGTGATCCTTTGCAAATCAGATGCTTGTTTTAAGGCACTTTTCCGTATAATTAGAGCTCTATTATATTTCTCTTATCCAGCAAACAGCAGGGAGGATTCTGTTGGCAGCTCTGTGGAGGCCTGGAAATGGCTTCCCACACAATCTCATTTGCCCAGGTTTCCTGGGGGAGAGCCTGTGTCTCAGTTTTGCTTTTGAGCCGGGGATGCTTGGTGGGAGAAGTTAAACAATGGAAGAGTCAGAGCCAGAGAAACACTAGGCAGTGGTGCTGGTGTTTGGGCTGCTTGTTCTAAAAAGTGGACAACGGGACTGGTCCCAAAGCCAACAGAAACGAACAATGCCATTTTCTTTAGTCTCAGTTCTTCTCCCTGTTCTAATTTAGTAAAAATCAGTCATCTCTTCATCCCTTAGCCTACCCTCTTTTCAGAGTCTCATAGGAAAGGCACTGATTCTTACTCAGCCTTACCACTAATGCCAGCATTCTGATGTCTAAGAGTTATGGTGGCTTCCTCATAGATTTTGTTTTTTACTTTAAAAAATTTATTTAAGAAACAGTTATAGAACATTCTAGCACCTCATTTTTTATATTTTATTGTTTGTTCAGGTAGCTTGTTGGTGATTTTTAAGTTACCGAATCTCATTACATTCAAGAATTCCACTTTTTTTCTCTTGGAAGGTAACAAGCAGAGCTCATGCTTGGAATTAGGATCACTTGTGCTGGCATTGTCCATGGGGTCTCTTTCTTTCACTTCTTTTTGTGAAGCTGAGTACAGAAAATGATTGTAAATGCCTTTTTACAGTGATTTCTTTAATTCATCTCTCTGGATGAACACGATTCCTTTGGAAATAAGTTCAAAATTTAACAGTCTCCTGCCCAAATAAATATTACCTTGAGTGAAAGGAATCGGTAAGAGTTACTATTTCCTCATATAAATTATTACTCATTAGACATATCAAAGTCTGATCAGGAGAGTGATGATCTAGACTAGACTGTATTGTATAGATGGGGTGATGGTTAGGGATGGCCTTCTTTCATTTATCTTTCATTATGCATATCATTATTAGACAGGTTTTGACCTTGTCATTATTTACTTATTTGTGATTATTTTCTGTACAATGGAAAAGAACACCACTGTTTATGTAATTCATTTTGGTTGCTTTACCTTAGGTCCTATGAACAGTGTTTTAGGTAAGATTAGCCCTTGGTCATTTTTCTTTCTTTCTTTCTTTTTTTTTAATTTTAAAGATCTTAAGTTTTACACCCTTATGCTCTGAATCATAGGAATTCTAAATTTCAAGGGAGTGGAAACAAAAGGCAAACTAGCTTTCTAGGAAGAATCTAAGGGGCACCTGGGTGGCTCAGTTGGTTAAGCCTTTGCCTTTGGCTCAGGTCATGATCCTGGGGTCCTGGGATTGAGCCCTGTGTCAGGCTTACTGCTCAGCAGGGAGTCTGCTTATCCCTCTCGGTCTGGCTCCCTCGACCCTGCTCATGCTTTCTCTCACTCTCGCTCTCTCTCAAATAAATAAATAAAATCTTAAAAAAAACAAAAGAAAGAAATGCATTCTATTTCATATTCCATTACCTTTTTGTCTCATATTTGAACTCAGTATGGTATATTTTTAAAAAGAGGTTTAGAGGCTGTTATTTTTCTCATTTTAATTTGAGTCCAGGCTTACTGTTAGTTAGCTGGATATTTTATATTTTTATTACCAATAAGTGTTTAACTTAGAAGCAACAGATAGAGCCAAGGTTACAGCATTTAGTTTGACTTTATAGTTTATTGGGATGCTAATTTATTCTCAGTTTTTAAACACATTAAATTTTCTTTCTTCCTCCTTTAGATAGTAGTAAAAATATATCAATTATGAGTTAGGAAGACACTAGAAGGGCTTTATTTTCTAAGGACGTATTTATTGAGCTAATGGGTATTTCTGAGCCTCTGGATAACTATAAAGATTCTCAAGGGTAAAGTAAATATTACTTTATAGATTGATATTTATTCTTTCTCAGGTAAAAGTGGGAAACTAAACAGGTTTTTACTTCTTTTTTTCCTAAAAATGGTCTAGAAAGGTAGATTTGATTAACCATAATCTCTGATTCATGGTGAACCAGATTGCTTTCTAGAAATGAGTCTTCTTGATCATGAGCGTAAGAGCATGTCAGAAAAGGAAAAACAGGGGCCGTTATACAGTGCCTGATCTAGTAAGGGATGGAGTAAATGTCAGAGCAGAGAGGTTAAGATGTTTCATTTATTTCAGGTAATGTTTATGTAGTGCCGAGATAGTAGAGATGCTATCAGAATGTCATAGCAATGATAACAGTAAGGAAGATACAGTTCTTGCCCTCAACTAGCTTTCAGCCTAATTGGACAGTTGCATCAATAGTGTCTTGGCAGAGGTCCAGAATTGGTGATGGGGAGGACTGTGGGGGGAGGGTGGAGTTAAAGGAAGCAAACAGAAAATTCAGTTGGTGAAAACAAGCAAAGGCTGCATGAAGGCAAAAACATTTCAAATGGACATTGAAATACGAAATTTCTAGAAGGAAAATGACAAGGGAGGGTGTTTCATCCAGTTGGAGGAAACTGTTTGAGCTGTGGAAGAGAGCTGAGTGAGAGTGGGATGTTTGGGGGAACATCAAGTAGTTCAGTTTGATTAAAGTGTAGGGTACAGCTTGATCCAAAAAGCATTTTTTTTAAAAGATTTTATTTATTTGACAGAGAGAGACACAGCTAGAGAGGGAACACAAGCAGGGAAAGTGGGAGAGGGAGAAGCAGGCTTCCCGCTGAGCAGGGAGCCTGATGCAGGGCTTGATCATGACCTCAGCCAAAGGCAGACACTTAACGACTGAGCCACCCAGGCGCCCCATCCCAAAAAGCATTTACTGAGTGCTTACTCTGTAGATTATTTCCATTTTGATTTTTCAGGGTGGGGGAGGTGTAATTAAATGTTTCTTTGACCTGAAGTTGAGGAACCAGAAGAGAGAAACTATTGAATATGTGGAAGTGAAGGAGTAATTGATGAACAGAGGACTGGTACTTGATAGAATTAAGAAAGCAGATACAGGGAATTAACCTTTGAATTGAAAAAAGTCTCATCCTCTGAGACTGTGAGGGAAGGACAGGGAGAACTGAAAATGAGATGAATTTTGAGTGCTTTTGCACTTTATATATGCGCAGTTAATCCAGAAATTCACATTTATTGAGGCTCCGTTATACCAGGTACTAGGCACTGAGAAAACAAAAACATGATTTCAATATAGTCTTTGTTGATTCTCTTTTGCCAGCTCTTTGAGTATAGTGACAGTCTTGATTATCTTTTGAAAATCTATGATATCTGAAATGTGCCTTAAACATAGTAGGGGACCAATAAATGCTCACCACTTTGTTGAAATTGATTTAAATAGTATTTCTTTCCCCTCTTTAAATACTCTGAGTATTTGGTAGAGTTCCCAGCATTACTGGGATTCTCACTGGCCCAAAAGCAACTTGATCTAGTGAACAGATGAACTAGACCTGAAGATGGGAGGCTGGGGCCATTACCTTTGTCATTTGCCACTTCCATGATTTTAGGAAAATAACATGTATGAATCTCAATTTCTTGTGCTGATGGTACTCCCCATATTGTCTACTTCTTAAAATTGCCTGACACATTATGTAATTTTATGTGAAAGCACTTTGAAAATCAAAAAGGATCCATTTAGGATATTAAAATGATCAAACCTTTCTTCTTCAGGATTGACTATTGTATTTCAATATAGAATCTAATTGTTTAGAATTTAACTATTTCTTTTTTTTTTTTTTAAGATTTTATTTATTTATTTGACACACAGAGAGAGAGAGAGAGAGATCACAAGTAGGCAGGGAGGCAGGCAGAGAGAGGAGGAAGCAGGCTCTCCACAGAGCAGAGAGCCCGATGCAGGGCTCAATTCCAGGACCCCGGGATCATGACCTGAGCTGAAGGCAGAGGCTTTAACCCACTGAGCCACCCAGGCACCCCTAACTATTTATTTCCTAAGTAATTTAGTTTCCTCTTAGAGTGTAGAAAGTTTCATGTAGATGGCTGGTTGAAGGGAAAGTTTTATAGAGGCATAATTTAGGCAGATTCATGCACATTTTATTTCATTACTTTTCTGTTTTCATACCCAGCACTACTTAATATACTCTAATGCGGCATTGAGAAAGTTTTTGTGAGAATTACTTCCTTATATATCTTCTGAGGGCTCTTACTGCCAATATTCAAGTGTATAAATCCTTTTGGGAATCTGTCTTTGGACCTCAGAGATGGTGGGTGAGTTTTTATGGCTGCATGTCTTCTTTAAGGTATTTAGAAAATCTCTTGCTATCCAACAGGAGTGAGAGGACGGAAGTTAGGAATATGAGTGTGAAAGAAATCTTGCTTGTTGGTATTGCTCATCATGAAATAGAGAAGCTTCCAGTCCTAACTATTGAAGGCTAATGGAGTTAGAAAATAACAATGGAACATGTTATCTGGGACCATATTTAAGACCCCAAAACAGTGGCCTTGCTCTGCATAGAAGACGATATGCACAAGTATAAATCAATATTAGACTGACCGAGATAATGTAGATCCTGGATCTTGTCTACGCAGGTATTTCATTAACCATGGAGCCAGCGTGGGTATTGTGAATAGTGAAGGTGAAGTCCCCTCGGACCTTGCCGAAGAGCCTGCCATGAAGGATCTTCTTCTGGAGCAAGTGAAGAAGCAAGGTAACCTAAGTGATTCCAGGGGGCCAGGAGAGACTCTCAAACATTGCTACTTAGAAAATAATCCATTTGCTGAGTAGAGTTTTTCATTATCATATTATGAGAGGATTAGATCTGTCTCCACAGCATTGGGTATCTTGACTATCAATCACCAAAATCATGTGTCCTCTTAATAACTCACTCATTTGGCCAGATGTCAAAAGGATGACCGGTGGTTCCTTGTTTTTGCCATATACAAGGGTGTATACGCATTGAATAGTTGGGAGTGACCTGAGTATTCTTTGATAATATAAATCAGACTGATGAGGAGCATGAAGTTTATCACTGTGTGGACATGATACTGGATTTTGCTACACATTGTGAAGTCTAAAGAAAGGATGATATATAGTGTAAATTGGAGTATTGGTGAAATTCTGTTGATGACTTTGTATCTTTTCTCTTGATGAGAACTAAAAGTGGTGCTGATAAAAGTATTATAACCTCTGAAATGATCCTTAACCATACTGACCATGACAATTATTCTGTAGTTTGTTATTTAGAAGAATAAACTCTATTAATACTTACTTTAATTTTCAGAAGAATCCATATCAGAGAGTAAGTCAGGATTTTCCTGAAGTCTCTGGGTTCTTTTAATTGCAAATGGTCAGATGGCAAGGAGAACAGGTTTTTGGAAGTTTGCTAGAACCATCAAAAAACTTTGTGGACATGATTTGTGGCGATGTTTATTTAGTCTTTCTGTTAAACTAGTTTACCTACAGTCTGCACTTTATTCCAGAAGATTAAGCTCCAGTGGCCTTTCCTGATACGAACCTTTAGAGTAGGCAGGCCAAGGCTGGCTACATCCATTTGTTCACATATTACTGAAAGCTGCGTTTGCACTACCACAGCAGAGTTGAACAGACAGAATGGCCCACAAAGCGGAAAATATTTAATATCTGGCTTTTTATGGAAAGTATGCCAGTGCCTTAAAATAATGATGTTCTAGTGGAGTAAATACTTGTTTTTACTGCCTTCCTGTGTATAATTTTTGTGCCCTTTGAATTAAAGAACTTTATACTTAGTTTACCATTCAGTCCCACTCGGCCTTATGCTAAGATAGACATCACAATTTACAAATACTTTTTTTTTTTTTAAACAGTTTTTTAAGATAGCTTTGATTTAGAAAACCGACTTTTCTTGTGTTAAAAAAAAAATTATTTATTTGAGGGAGAGAAGGGGGAGGGCAGAGGGAGAGAATCTCAAGTAGATTCCCCACTAAGTGCAGAGCCCCAGTGGGACTTGCTCTCACCACCCATGAGATCAGGACCTGAGCCTAAATCACCAGCCAGACAACTGACTGAGCCACTCAGGTGTTCCAAGAAACCAACTTTTCTATTTTGATTTCTGACTCTTCAGTTAAGGAATATGCTATGTTGGAAGAGGTGTTCAAATGTATGCTTAACTTTGTAGCACTGTTCTCTGTGTGGAATTCTGGTATGTTCTCAATCAGATACCTCTTTCAGTTCATCAAGATATAAGTCATAAATACATATATACCCAACTTTTGAACACCTAAATATATTAAACAAATACTAACAGATCTGAAGGGAAAAATAGATGATAATACAGTAATATAAGGGGATTTCAGTACACCACTTGCAAAATGGATAGGTCATCTGAACAGAAAACCAACAAGGAAACATTGGACTTGAACTATACTCTAGACCCTATGGACCTAATAGACATATATAGAATATTCCATCAATAACAAGAGGAAAACTGGGAAATTCACAAATATGTGGATATTAAACAACCTGCTACTAAACACCCGGTGGGTCAAAGAATAAATCAAAAGAAGAATTTAAAAATATCTTGAAACACACAAAAATGGAAACACAGCATGCTAAAACTTAAGGAATGCAGCAAAAGTAGTTCTTAGTAGAAAGTTTATAGTGACATGCTTCCATTAGGAAAAAAGAAGTATCTCAAATAAACAACTCACCTTTACATTTCAGAGGAATAGAAAAAGGAACAAACTAAGCCCAAAATTAACAGAAGGAAGGAAATAACAAAGATCAGAGCAGAAATAAATGAAACAGAGACCAGCACAAAAAAAGAAAAAAGATCAATGAAACTAAGAGCTGTTTTTTTTGGAAAAAATAAATAAAATTGACAAACCTTCAGTTAGACTAAGAAGAAAAGAGAAGACTAAAATAAAACCAAATGAAAGGAGAGGCATTACAACTGATATCACAGAAATACAAAGCATGGTAAGAGACTACTGTGAACAACTATATGCCCACAAATTGGATAACCTAGACAAAATAGATAAATTCCCAGAAATTTACCACCTACCAAGTCTGAATCAGGAAGAAATAGAAAATCTGAACAGACTGATAACAAATAAGGAGATTGAGTCAGTAATCAAACAATAAGAAAAGCCCAGGACCAGATGGTTTCTTTGGTGAATTCTACCAAACATTTAAAGAATTAATACCATTCCTTCTCAAATTCTTTCAAACAAAGAGGAGAGAACACTCTCAAACTCATTTTATGAAGCCAGCATTACCCTGATACCAAAGCCAGATAAGGACAGTATAAGAAAAGGAAACTGTAGGCCAATATCCGTGCTGAATATAGGTACAAAAATTCACAACAAAATATTAGCAAACCAAATTCAGCAGCACAAAAGAAAGATCAGACACTATGATCAAGTGGAGTTTATCTCTAAGATGAAAGGGTGGTTCAGCTACATAAATCGATAAATATGATACACAGCATTAATAGAATGAAGGGTAAAAATTATCATCTCAACAGATGCAGAAAAAGCATTTGACAAAATGCAACAACCTTTCATAGTAAAGATTCTGAACAAATTGGATATAGAAGAAATTATCTCAACATCATAAAGTCCATATATGACAAGCCCACAGTTAACATCATACTCAATGGTGAAAGGTTGAAAGCTTTTCCTCTATGGTCAGGAATAAAACAAGGGTACCCACTCTCATCACTTCTTTTCAACATATTACTAGAAGTCCTAGCCAGAGTAGTCAAGCAAGATAAAGAAATAAAAGGCATGTAAATCAGAAAGGAAGAACTAAAATTTTGTTTGCAGATGATTATGATCTCAGATACAGAAAATCCTGAAGACTACCAAAAAGCTGTTAGCATCAAAAGCAATAAATTGGTTGGGAATAAATTTAACCAAAGAGGCAAAAGATCTGAAAAGAAAGAAATTGAAGAAGACACATATAAATGGAAATCCACCCATGTTCATGGATTGAAAGAATTAATATTGTTTAAATGTCCAAAGCCATCTATAGGTTCAGTGCAATCCCTATCAAAATTTCAGAGGCATTTTTCACAGAAATAGAAAAAAAATCCTAAAATTTGTATGGAATCACAAAAGACCCCTAATTGCCAAAGTAATCCTGAAAAAGAACAAAGATGGAGGCATCATACTTCCTGATGATAAAATTATACTACCAGGCTATAGTAATCAAAACAGTGTGGTACTGGCATAAATATAGATACATAAACCAGTGGAACAGAACGGAGAGCCCAAAATTAAACCCTCATATCATGGTTAACTACTATTTGAACAAGAGAGCCAAGAAGACTCAATAGGGAAGGGCTAGTCTCTTCAATAAATGGTTTTGGGAAAACTGAATATAATCACATGCAGAAAAATGAAATGAGACCCCTATCTTAAAACACTCACAGAAATTAACTCAAAATGGAGTTAAGACTAACGCATATGACCTGAAGCTATAAAACTCCTAGAAGAAAACATGGGGAAAAACCTCCTTTTTACATTGGTCTTGACCATAATTTTCGGGATATGAAACCAAAAGCACAAGCAATAAAAGCAAAAATAAATAAGCAGGACCACATCAAACTGGAAGTTTCTGCACTGCAAAAGAAACAATCAACAAAATTAAGACATTCTACAGAATGGGAAAAAAATATCTGCAAATCATATGTTTGTTAAATACAGAAGGAATTCATACAACTCAATAGTAAAAAAAAAAAAAAAATGGGCGTTTTTTCAAAGAAGATGTACAAATAGCCAACAGGTTCATGCAAAGATGTTCAGCATCACTAATCATCAGGGAAATCAAAACCACTGGGAGAGATCACCTCATACCTGTTCAAATGGCTGTCATCAAAAAGACAAGAAATAGTAAGTGTTGGCAAGGCTGTGGAGAAAAGGGAACTCTTGTACACAGTTGGTGTGTATGTAAATTGGTATAGCAACTATGGAAAACTGCATGGAATTTCCTCAAAAAATTAAAAATACTACTACTATATGACCCAGCAGTCCCACTTCAAGGTATATATCCAAAGGCAATGAAACTAAAATCTCAAAGAAAGGGGTGCCTGGGTGGCTTGGTTGTTTATGCGGCTGACTCTTGACTTCAACTCAGGTCATGATCTCAGGGTCCTGGGATTGAGCCCCACGTCAGTTTCCTTGCTCAGCAGGGAGTCTACTTGTTTCCCTCTCCCTCTGCCCCTCCCCACTAAAATAAATAAATCTTAAAAAAAAAAAAATCTCAAAGAGATATCTGTATTCCTCTTTTCAGTGCATCATTATTCACAATAGCCAAGATACAGAAGCAACCTAAGTGTCAGTCTATGGATGAATGGATAAAGATATATATATATATACACACACACATACACACACACACACACATATATATGTATATATGTGTATATATATATATGGATATTATATATATACACATAATATATCATTATAATATATAATATCCATATATATATATACACATATATACATATGTATGTGTGTGTGTGTGTGTATGAATATTATTCACCCATGAGAAAAAAGAAAGAAGGAAATATTGCTATGTACAACAACGTGGGTGGACCTTGAGGGCATTATGCTAAATGAAATAAGACAGAAGAAGAAACAAAGAGAGTAGAATGGTGGTTTCCAGGGGCCAGGGATGGGGATAAATGGGGAGATATTGGTCAAAGGGTACAGACTTCTGGTTATAAAATAAGTTCCGTGGATCTAATGTACAGCATGGTAACTTTAATTAACAGTATTATATTATGAACTTGAAAGTTGCCAAGTGATTTTAAATGTTCCCAGCACAAAAAAGAAATAATTATGTGAGATGATATTGTTATTAATTAACTTTATTGTAGTGATCATTCTGCAATATATAAATATCAAAACAACATGAACAAATTTAGCTTACACAGTGTTTTATGTTTATTGTATCTCAGTGATGCTGGGGGAAAAAAGAAGTAAATTGCTTACCCTTTCATCCCATCTGTCTCTCCAAATCAGGCAGATAATCCTTAGGGTAGTTCACAGGTTTTCATTTAGGAAGTTAGTTGGGAGTAGACCAAGCTCAGATAAAGCCTGCTCATGAGTATAGAACTCTTTGGATGGGTATGTTTGTATTTGGGACATGCCATTTTTTTGGTAATTTTTTGATATTTTTTTATTAACATATAATGTATCATTTGTTTCAGGGGCACAGGTATGTGACTCATCAGTCTTATATAATACATAGTGCTCATTACAAAACATACCCTTCCCAATATTCATTACCCAGTTACCCCATCCCCCCAACTCCCTCCCCTCCAGCAACCCTGTTTGTTTCCTAAGAGTTTTTTACGATTTGTCTCCCTCTCTGATTTCATCTTTTTTCATTTTTTTCTCTCTTCCACTATGATCCTCTGCCTTGTTTCTTAAATTCCATATTTTAGTGAGATTATATGATAATTGTCTTTCTCTGATTGACTTATTTCACTTAACATAATACCCTCTAGTTCCGGCCACATCATTGCAAATGACACAATTTCAATTTTTGATGGCTACATGATATTCCATTGTATATAGATACCGAATCTTCTTTATCCACTCATCTACCAGTGGACATCTGGGCTCTTTCCATAGTTTGGCCATTGTGGACATGGATGCTATAAACATTCGGGTGCACTTGCCCCTTCAGATCACTACATTTGTACCTTTGGGGTAAATACCCAGTAGTGCAAATACTGGGGCATAGGGTAGCTCTATTTTCAACTTTTTTGAGGAATCTCCATGCTGTTTTCCAGAGTGGCTGCACCAGCTTGCATTCCCACCAACAGTGTAGAAGCATTCCCCTTTTTCTGCATCCTCGCCAACATCTGTAGTTTCCAGACTTGTTAATTTTAGCCACTCTGACGGTGTGAGGTGGTATCTCATTGTGGTTCTGGTTTGTATTTCCCTAATGCGGAGTGGTATTGAGCACTTTTTTCGTGTGTTTGTTGCCTATTTGGATGTTTTCTTTGCAGAAATGTCTGTTCCTGTCTTCTGCCCATTTCTTGATTGGATTATTTATTCTTTGGGTGTTGAGTTTGATCAGTTCTTTATAGATTTTTGATACTAGCCCTTTATCTGATATGTCATTTGCAAATATCTTCTCCCATTCTGTCTTGTCTTTGGTTTTGTTGACTATTTCCTTTGCTGTGCAAAAGCTTTTTATCTTGATGAAGTCCCAGTAGTTCATTTTTGCCTTTGTTTTTCCCTTCCCTGTTTAGCAAGAAGTTGCTGCAGCCAAAGTCAAGGTGGTTGCTGCCCGTCTTCTCCTCAAGGATTTTGTTGGATTCCTGTTTTATATTTAGGTCTTTCATCCATTTTGAGTCTATTTTTGTGTACGGTATAAGGAAATGGTCCAGGTTCATTCTCCTGCATGTGACTGTCCAATTTTCCCAACACCATTTGTTGAAGAGACTGGTTTTTTTTCCAGTGTATATTCTTTCCTGCTTTGTCAAAGATCAGTGACCATAGAGTTGAGGGTCCATTTCTGGCCTCTTTATTCTGTTCCATTGATCTATGTGTCTGTTTTTGGCCTGTACCATACTGTCTTGATGATTACAACTTTGTAATAGAGTTTGAAGTCCAGAAGAGTGATGCCACCAGCTTTGGTTTTCTTTTTCAACATTCCTTTGGTTATTCGGGGTCTTTTTTGGTTCCATACAAATTTTAGGATTATTTGTTCCAGCTCTGTGAAAAAAGTTGATTGTATTTTGATAGGGATTGCGTTGAGTGTGTAGATTGCTCTAGGTGGCTTAGACATTTTAACAATATTTGTTCTTCCAATCCACGAGCTTGGAACATTTTTCCATTTCTTTGTGTCTTCCTCCGTTTCTTTCATGAGTATTCTATAGTTTTCTGAGTACAGATCCTTTGCCTCTTTGGTTAGGTTGATTCCTAGGTATCTGATGGTTTGGGTGCATTTGTTAATGAGATCAAGTCCTTAATTTCTCTTTCTTCTGTCTCACTGTTGGTGTATAGAAATGCAACTGATTTCTGTACAATGATCATGTTATTATTTTATGGAAGGGGGAATGCCCCATCGCAGCCCCTTTTCAGTGGCACACAAATGTTGGAGAGTTTCTGGCTAAAGAGAGGAACTTTTTGGAGTTCCTCTATAATGTTTTAAAGCGAAACAAAAGCTACATTCCCTTAGAAGCTTTAACTGCACGTGACCTACTCAGCTGCTCTAGATTATATGGCTTCAAGTAAGTATATTTCCCTACATGTGGAAATGAACATTAGAGGTAGATTATTTTTTAAAGTATATCATACCTGAATCTAAGATTTTTTGATACCAGGCTTATGGACTAGTAAGTGGAAAAGAACGACAGGCACCTGGGGTGCCAGGTTTCTAATGACAGTTCTAATGTGTTTTGTGGTCTTGAGCGAGGCACGTTTCTATGTTATTTTCTCATCTGTTAAATGGTGATAGTGATATCTGTTACATTTACCTCAAAGGATTGTTAGGAAACTAAAATGGTAAAACATGTAAAAGGTCTTTGAAATGTAGAGCATTGTATAAATACTATAACACAAAACTCAAAGTCCACTTCGGTCTTTATGTTCTTAAAACTGAAAACCATTTTAAGCATGTTACTTTAATGGATCTGCCATCACAGCGTATTTAAAATGATGCTTTAACCCTGATAAAACTACTAATGTGTGTATAAATGTCATTGTTCTTCTAAATAAAAAATAAATTTAATGAATACCCAACTTGATGACTTAAACCATTATTTGTGGTTTTATTTATGATGTGTTTAGAATCTAAGGAAAATACCCCGTCAGATTTAAATGGACCCTGAGTAATGCTGGCTGTCTGGTTTCTGCAGGAGTTGATCTAGAGCAGTCAAGAAAAGAAGAGGAACAACAGATGTTACAGGATGCCCGCCAGTGGCTCAACAGCGGGAAAATTGAGGACGTAAGGCAGCCTCGCTCCGGGGCCACGGCCCTCCATGTGGCTGCTGCCAAAGGCTACTCGGAGGTCCTCAGGTATCGTCCATTTATGTCAATCAGGAGTTTGCCAGACTGGGAGAAGATGAGCTGGGGTTTGGAAGCGGGGTGAATTAGATTTTCAACTACAACGTGTTTCCTTATTGTTTTCCTCTCTAATCACGCAGTCTTTTCTTATATTTTGCTGATAATAACCCATAGCTGGTCTCCCACCCTCCTACTGTCACTCTAGCTTCTCACTAAGAAACAGATGAGGTGTACTGGCCTAGAAGATGACCTTACATGATCTCTTCCAGTGCTGTGACTTATCGTTACTATCCCAGCAGTCTCCTCCCCTGGTGACATGTAATACAGGACAGACTTGTGATTTGGGTCCTTTTTGGACAGAGCTAATTTCTCTGGGCTCTTTGGATTAAGGGTACAGATCTTGAATGTGCAGTGTCCAGTTAGAGTGGAGTAGTTAAACTGATAAGAGGGGATTTGGATTCTGCTACTCTGCCTGTTCCATTTTTTCCTTGTCCGTACATGCTATATGTAGCTTTTGATCCTTACGGGTTGACAGGCTTTCCCGGATGCTCGCAGCTGATAGCATTGTGTGTGTGGTCGTTGCCAGACTCTTCCAGTGCTTCGCTTTCCACTGAATATGGGGTTTCTAATGGGTGTGGCAATACGTCAGTGTACTGTTTCTGCCTGAGAGTGACATTCATATTCTGGTCATTTCTTAGAAGGTGTCTGGAGGCCCATGATATGGGTGACCTCAAGTCAGGCCAGTGCATTTTGGGGTCTCAGGAATCATACCTTTCTTCCTCCATGCACACAGATTTTGATAGTTAGCAAGAAGTCCAGGCAAATACTTTGCAGAGTTGGGAGTTTGAGAGTCTGCAGTAAATATATGGGATCCTGCAAATATCAACTAGAAAGTTAGTAAGTAAAGAGCCCAGAGGAGAATTGAGCTCTCATTCTAGATGTTCTTTCCTCCCCATACTGGGAAATGGAAAACATACCTTGTAACAGAGTTGTGATTTGGCAAATTTAATCAGGCTTTGGTGACTCTCAAAGGGATACACCTTTCTAAACACTACGCTTGTGTGGTATAACATGGATATGCCTGGGAAATACCTTATGACCTTTCAGGGTGGTTGATAACTGCTGTCTGTGGTTGGTTCTCAGTGTAGGAACCATGAAGCCTGAGCTGTGCCTTAGAGGCCAGAAGTAATCACAATTTCCCAGTGGTTCAGGGCCGAAGTCTGAATATCAATTAGGTGTTAGTTTATTTGGCAGAAAACTATAATATAGAGAGTGTAAGTGTCTTGTTTGGGGTTTTCTTCTTAGACTTTTAATCCAGGCTGGCTATGAACTCAATGTTCAGGATTATGATGGTTGGACTCCCCTCCATGCTGCTGCACACTGGGGAGTGAAGGAGGCTTGCTCCATCCTGGCAGAAGCACTCTGTGACATGGATATCAGGAACAAACTGGTTAGTATGCCTGACCCTCTAAAAGGGAGTAAAATTGGTGGCTGGGTCTCCAGAACGAAAGGCTCAAAGTTTCAGTTAAATGGCCGGGCTTCCTGTCTAGGGAAATACGTATCCCGAGTAGCTTTTGGCTCTCTTCCCTGCACCCTTCTCCCTCCCCCCTGCCCCATTACCAACACAGTAGTGTTAGCTATGTAAAATAAAACTACTGATCAGCGTTCTGATTCTATTTATATTGAAGCCCCTAAAATCAATTGGAAAAGAAATTTTTGCCCTTGACCAAAATGAGCTCTGGGAAATCTTAAGGTTACTGTCTATGGTGGCGTTATGAAGGATTTTATTTTATTTTTAATTCAAGGACTTTGATCGCTGAGCTCTACTCTCATCTAGTCATCAAAAAAAATCATTATAATGACAAAGATCCTTGAGTCTGGCTGAAAATAGTTACTCAGCCTCACCAAAGGAACTTTAGAGGCCTTAGAATTCTTATCCCTACATCTATTGATTTTCTAGGAATACAGAGACAGGCTTTTTACTTCGTAGCTGTTCTACCTGCTTCACATCTCTCCTGAACCCAGCTTTCACCCCCAGATTATGGGTTAGGGTCCTGAACTGCGCCAATGTGTCCTAAAAGAGATACCCTTCTCTCACTTAAAGGGACATGACTGCTGTGACTTAATCTTTAGTGCACATGAGCCCTGGACCCCCTTCTGAGGCTTTTAAAAGCCCCTTATTGAATTTATTATATATATTAAGTAAGACCATTTGAGAACAGGTACAAATAGAGATTTCAATTGATTATATGCCGAGGTGCAGTAAGCATTAGAGATAATTTGGTGATTTCCTCAATCCTGTTTTATAAAATATAAAAACATGTATTTAAAAGATTTGATGTGTTTTGTTTGTTTTGGTTTGGTTTAGAGGAAGAGAGTGTGCGTGGGTGAAGATGTGTGTGTGTGTGTGTGAGGGGCTGCAGAATCCTAAGTGGGTTCCACACACAGAGCATGACCTGAACCAAAATCAAGAGACGCTTAACCAACTGAGCTACCCAGGTTCCCCAGCAGACTTGCTGTTTCTTGTTAAGTTTCCTCTGTGATAGATGAAGGCATTATTATAATGTAGAGTAGATAAGTTAAGGAAGTAGCTATCACTGGAACAAAGGCATAAAGTGAGTATTGAATAGTTCTCTGATAAAGTCACAACATCACTACTTCTGTTTTCTTTTGATCATGGCACCCCCTTTTCTGTGCCAGGGCCAGACACCATTTGATGTTGCTGATGAGGGTGTTGTGGAGCACTTGGAGATGCTCCAGAAGAAGCAGAATATGGTAAGTCTTTGGTTAATGCTTTAAAGCTTTTATAACAGTGCAGGTATCTCATACCTTGTTTCAGTTATGTCTGCTGAGAGTTGAAATGGACATATCTACATTTCAGAGATAACAACTGTTCCCTTCAGGGACTAACAACAGTCTGTTAGAAAATATCCCAGAAACCATTGTTGTTAAAGTTTACTCATTATAAGCTAGCCTTCAAGCAGCTCAAAGTCAAAAATGATGAGAACAGCAAACCAATAATTACCCTTGAGTTCTAGGAAGTGAATGTGGTATATTCAAAGTTTTTTCCAAATAGGGAGTACTAGATAGAGTAGAGGACATCTTATAACTTTTTTCTCCCCTTATTGACTGAAAGGACACGTTTATTTAAAGCAAATTCATTACAGACAGAAATATATTTCTTTCTTAAAGAGTTTGGGTGAGCCTGGTGGTGGGTATTATGGAGGGCATGTATTGCATGGAGCACTGGGTGTGGTGCATAAACAATGAATTCTGGAACACTGAGAAGAAATAAAAAATAAATAAATAAAAATTTTAAAAAAACTAAACCTGTCTTTTTGTATTGGACAATACTTGGTCAGTGATTCATATTTAGGATTCATCAGATATCCAGAATTCAATCCTCCTCTCCCTTCTCATTCTAAATCTTCTATTGTTTGCTTATATGTACCGTTACGTTGATTAGTGCTATACAGGAGAACTACCTAAGTATCGTACTCATGTACAGACTGCGGAAGGAAAAAACCCACCCAATATCTAAAAAAACAGTAAATAATTCATATTTTCTACCTGTAAGTGAGATGAGTAGGACAGAAAAAAATCACTAGCTTTCCTTTGTGTTTTCCTTTGCATGAGTTGTGACTAGGGCGTGTGAACTCAAGTTTAGGACAAAGGAGAGAAGTTTAGAGCAGTCCTGAAAAAAATAACTATGGAGTTCCCTGGTGGCACAGGTCAACTGTATCCCACCTCACACATGTACAGCACCACGTCTGGACTGGTAGAGGGAAGATCCTTGTTACTTCAAGGCTGAGTGGGACAGTTGCATACATAAAGCTCAGACAAACACAACTTAATAGTTCATTTTGTTTTCTTTGGTAACCTATGGAACCTAGGCTAAAACTTGGGACTTACCACACACTATCTGGGCTGTTATCTTGCAGAATCAGCCTTCCTAAGTTGTATGCTTCTTTTAGTTAGGTTTTTGTTGTTTTCTTAAACTTTTTATTCTGAAATAATTTTTAGAACCACATAGAAATTATGAAAATAATAGAGAGTTTCAATGTATTCTTTACCCAGCATGGTTTGGTTTTTGAACATAAATGATATTTTCACTAAATAACATTTCTGCTTCTCTTTGCTCCCTGCATAACTTTGGGGTCCAGGGATATAAACTCATTTTGTCTAGAGCATGTATCTAAATACCAGATAATTGATTCTAAGGAGTTATTTCCCCTTTGGTACCTGTTTTTTACCTTGAGAACTATTGCCAGCCTAATTCAGGATATGGTCATAAAGAATTCTTTCAAAGTTCCTCCTTTTTTTTTCTTTTTTTTTTAAATAAACATATCATGTATTTTTATCCCCAGGGGTACAGGTCTGTGGATCGCCAGGTTTACACATTTCACAGCACTCATCATAGCACATACCCTCCCCAATGTCCGTATCCCCACCACCCTCTCCCGCCCCCCACTCCCCCCAGCAACCCTCAGTCTGTTTTTTGAGATTGAGTCTTTTATGGTTTGTCTCCCTCCTGATCCCATCTTCTTTCATTTTTTTCTTTTCCTACCCCCCAAACTCCCCACACTGCATCTCCACTTCCTCATATCAGGGAGATCATATGATAGTTGTCTTTCTCCGATTGACTTATTTCGCTAAGCATTATACTCTCTAGTTCTATCCACGTCGTCGCAAATGGCAAGATTTCATTTCTTTTGATGGCTGCATAGTATTCCATTGTATATATATACCACCTCTTCTTTATCCATTCATCTGTTGATGGATATCTAGGTTCTTTCCATAGTTTGGCTATTGTGGACATTGCTGCTATAAACATTCAGGTGCATGTGCCCCTTCGGAGCACCACGTTTGTATCTTTAGGACATATACCCAGTAGTGCAATCGCTGGGTCATAGGGTAGTCCTCCTTTTTTTTTTTTTTTTAATTCATCAGAAGCCAGGCTTTTTTTTTTTTCTTTTTAAAGTTTATTTTATTTTATTTTAGTAATCTCTCTACATCCACCATGGGGCTTAAAGTCACAAACCCCAGATCAAGAGTCGCATGGTCTTCTGACAGAGCGAGCCAGCCTCCCCTAGAAGCCAGGGTTTTTTTGAAGATTGAGTTTGGATATTTGATACAGACAGTTTTATTGAAGCTCTAACACCATGGTTTTTCTCAAACCTTGGATGAGGATTTTTGTCTGTCATTTTCTTCGAAGGAGACCCAACTGATGGGTTTCTCTCTTTCTCAGTTCTTTCTTCCCCTTTTGGTGTTAGTCCTGTCTTCTGCAGAATGACAGTACCATTTTGAGTTCTTCTCATTGCTGCTGATTTTTACCAATAGTCAGCTTCTTCCCTTTCCTCTCTGTTTTCTCAATTTCCAGCTTCGAAGTGAAAAAGAGACACGGAATAAGCTCATTGAGTCAGACCTGAACAGCAAGCTGCAGAGTGGACTCTTTAAGAAGTAAGACATACGGGGCTTGAGAAATGCAATGAGCTCTGCTGTGTTTGGGTGCATATGTGTGTGTGACATACTTAGCTTGAGAACTTATACAGGAAGGAAACTGTGTTCAATTTAAACCAAATGATCTTTAAACATGTGGGAAGTTTGAGGGGCAAAAGAGCTGGCATTGATACATGAGGGAGACACTGAGGATGGATGAATGTGTTGTTGTTGTTTTTTATTTAATTTATTTTTTTAAAGATTTTATTTATTTATTTGAGAGCAAGAGTGCAAGCATGAGCAGGGAGAGGGGCAGAAAGGGAGGAAAAAGCAGACTTCCTGATGATCAGGGAGCCCAACACAAAGGATATGGGGCTTGATCCCAGGACCCTGAGATCACAACCTGAGCCAAAGGCAGACACTCAACCAACTAAGCCACCCAGGTGCCCCAGGTGATGATGTTTTATTTTTTATTTTTTAAAGATTTTATTTATTTATTTATTTGTCAGAGAGAGTGAGCACAGGCAGACAGAGAGGCAGGCAGAGGCAGAGGGAGAAGCAGGCTCAAGGAGCCCGACGTGGGACTCGATCCCAGAACGCTGGGATCATGACCTGAGCCGAAGGCAGCCGCTTAACCAACTGAGCCACCCAGGTGTCCCGGTGATGATGTTTTTAATTTAGAAATTAATTGAGACAGTGTACAACATATTTCCCCCCCAGCTTAGGAGTTCTTAGTCCTAGCTACATCCTTAACTGTAAGTGCTCTGAACTCAGGGACATGTGTGTTTTGTTTATCACTGTAACCAGCTTGGTTCCTGGCAGGTAATGAGCACTCAGTAAACATTTGTTAAGTGACTTTTTAAAAACATTTACCTGCTTCATCACCGTCAAGATTCATAGCCCTCCTTTTTCCTGTATGTTGAGCAGGCTAGATCTACTTCAGTCATATTCGAAAGTATGAACCTTAGTCTGCAAAAACCCAAGGATTCAGAAGAATGTGAAGAAGGATTTGATGTATTTCTGTTATTGCTTTTACACAGAAGTTTATGGATTTGTTTTCCTTATGTTTGATTGTCAATGAACTTAAATAGTTTGCCATTTCTGAGTTACACTCAAATCATCATCTCTAATTAGCAAAGAGAAGATGCTGTATGAAGAAGAGGTACCCAAGTCCCAAGAAATGGAGGAAGAAAGCAAAGAGTCCAGCAGCTCCAGCTCAGAGGAGGAGGAAGGTGAAGATGAAGCTTCTGAGTCAGAAACTGAGAAGGAAGCAGGTAATGTAAAGATGTTGGTAGCAAAGGTCTTCTGTTTCCATAATGCAGAGAGATAACTGCTTATCAGAGCTAGGAGGCCTTAGAGGACTTTAAGTTCTTTAAGTTTAGTTTTCCAAGATAAGATACCAAATTTTGAGTGAAAACTTGGTTGTAAAAGCCAGTGAGCTAGGTTAGAATATGTGTATTAGTTTCTATGTAGCCATATGACAAGGCACACACAAAAATTCCTTTTTTAAAAAAAGATTTATATATTTATTTATTTATTTGAGAGAGACAGAGAGAGAATGAGTCAGCACCCAAGCGTGTGCTTGCGAGCAGGCAGGGAGGGGGAGAGGGAGAGGATCTCAAGCTCACTCAGCATTGAGAGTAGAGCCCAAGAGGGCTCTTGATCCCATGACCCTGAGGCCATGACCCCAGGGGAAATCAAGAGTCAGATGCTCAACTGACTAAGCCACCCAGGTGTGCCGCAACCCACCTCCCTCCTGCGCATCAAAATTCTTGTGTAAAGGAGCCAACTCTCTGACCTCAGGTTGGTAGGGTATAGAGACCAAATATGCAATAGGCTGAGAAGGTGAGATCTTGCAGTCATATTTGGTCAAGTATCTTTAACCAGCTGGTGAAAATTTGCATTTAGTTTTCAGGTTCCTCTGATTCCCTATACAGAATCCCAAGATCTTTTCATTTTCCTTCTGATTATGTGAAGCTCCTTCAGTTCCTGAGTTGGGGATTGAAGAAGGAACAAAATCATATTTACCTTTATGACTCTTATTGATATTATATATGCTTCATATGGCATTTCTTAAGGTTATCATATGGAAGCCCAACAGTGAGAGTGAGGTGCTGAACATGGTTAGATCCACAAGTTGCAGAAGTACCCATTGGTTTTGATATATAGTCAGGCAGACATTGAGAAAAGAGATTCTGGGTTTTACTGAATAGAGGTTCAACGGCAACAGAATAGCTCTCATGGATAACTGGAAGTTAACAATACTAAGGTTTTGTTTTGTTTTGTTTTTAAAGATTTTATTTATTTATTTGACAGACAGAGATCACTAGTAGGCAGAGAGGCAGGCAGGGGGGTGGGGAAGCAGGCTCTCTGCTGAGCAGAGAACCCGATGCAGGGCTTGATCCCAGGACCCCGAGATCATGACCCGAGCCGAAGGCAGAGGCTTAACCCACTGAGCCACCCAGGCGCCCCAATGATAACTGAAGTTTTATAGTACATGTGTCCTGCACTCACTGATTTATATTAGTATATTAGTATTAGCTCACTGAATGTTACCAAAGGAAATTAAAGATCATTGATTGTATTAGAGAAGATAGATACCAACTAAGTTTATAGCATAGGAGAGGACTTTTTACTCATGGAGCCTTGAATTTCTATTATTAAGCAAGCACAACTTAATCTGGAAATGCTAGTCTAGTACCTACCAACATTTGTAAATGTTCATCTTTTTTATGTTTTTATTATTTATTGAGGACTTACATGTCTTAAGCTTCAGGAATTAATTACTATCTGGTCTTGCTCTATGCTAGATCACTTTGTTAGCTACCAAGGTATTTGAAGAATGGGAGGGAGCTCCCTGAACTACTGTAATTGCTTCGTGATATGTTCCCATGCTTCAGGTCTCTGGTCCCTGCAGCCCATCTCTGCATTGTGGTTGGAGTAAAACACCCTCAGCTCCCTTTGATTATATTACAGCCCTGTCCAGAAACCATCTACGACCTCCTTCGCTACTCCCATCTTTGCTTGTAGAGTAAATCCCAAATCCTGTAGCCTGACCTTCAAGATCTTCCATAATCTATCTCTAGCTAAGCTTTCCAGTGCTATCCATAGGCAGTGTCATCTACTAGCCAAGCTGGATTTCTTGATTTCCCCAAACATGCCCTTAGTTTTCCTACCCCTAAACATTTATTTGCACCTTAGAATTCATTTCTGACTATCAAATGTTTATTGACTGATTTCTGTTACAAGCTATAGGATTTACTGGAATGAAGAGCCCTTCTTTAGGTTTTTCTATATAAAAAACTGAAAAGGAGTGGATTGCTTCACTGTTCTCCCACCCCATGATAATTGCTCCCCTGTTTGTATCCCTCTAGCACTTCATACTTACCTCTGTTGTAGCACTCATCATTCTGGCTGGGAACTCCAGGTTTATCATTTACTCCTAAGTCTCTGCGTGACGCCTGACACAGGACAGGCATTCATGTTCATTAAATAAATGCTTTTCGTTGGATACATCTAGGACATACAGGGGAATAGGAAGGCATGTACATGAATAAAATACATGTCACATGAGAGATATAAATGTTGTCAATGGTATTCACTAGTAAGAGAGATTATGTTTAGTTTGGGGGATTATAACAACATTTGGGTAGTGCTTTTTACTCTGCAATGTACTTACAGCCACACCCTGAGGGCTGTATTATCACCATGTTTTAGAGTGGGAAATTGACCCTGTAAGGGGTGAGGAAAATTGGGTCTCATAGCTGGCAAGTCTTGTGCCTGAGATCCTGACTTTGATCTGGGACTCCTCAGAGTCGCAGGGGCAGAGTGCAATGTGGAAATCATCTGCCTAAAAGGTGGAAGCTAAAGGTACGGGAAAGGAGGAGATTTCCCAAGGGAGAGATTGTAGAGAAAAGATGTACAAGAAAGAGTCATGGGGCATGCTGTGTTTAGGAGGCAAAGAAGGTATGGTCAGAGAGGTTGAGGATAACCAGGATATGTGTTTCTGCATCAGGAAAGCCAGGGTAAGGGGATGCCTGTGTGACTCATTCAGTTAAGCAGCTGCCTTCAGTTCAGGTCATGATCCCGGGGTCCTGGGATCGAGCCTCATGTCAGGCTCCTTGGTCACGGGGGAGCCTGCTTCTCCCTCTCCCTCTGTCTCCCTCTCCCTTTGCCTTCTGTTCCCCCTGCTTGTGCATGCTCTCTCCCTCTCTCTCAAATAATTAAATAAAAGCTTAAAAAAGAAGGAAAGAAAACCCAGGGTAAGAGTGGGAAGGGAGAGGTCAAGAAATAGACGGCATTTAGGGAGTCTGGTAATCTCAGCAGTTTCTATAGCCTGATGGAGGCAGAAGCCAAATGGTTCCAACAAGCTTCCCTGGTCATTTCTGCCAGTTGAAGTTTTCCTAATATTTCAAAGCCCAGCTCAAATCACTTCTCTTATGAAGTTTCTTTTATGAAACTTGTTTTCATCACAGAAACAAGTTTTTTCCTCCTTCTCTGACTGGTAGCTATCTGTTTGAACTTCTTTCATATTACTTACCCTACCTAATAGTAGTGTTATTTCTGTTTGTTTCTCATCTCCTCTCTTCTTCCCTTACCAGCAAGTTTCAGAAGCACTGAAATGTGTTGTGTGTTTTGTTTATCTTTCTGTCTTCCATAATGCCTGGCACTGGGTCTTCTAAGTGGTAGGTGCACGATAAATATACATTATATGTAAGTGTATATTGGAAGAATACGGGGAAGTGGATTATATCTAAACCTTTCCAAATGCCCAACACATTATATATGTGCTAAACAGTATTTCTTTTTTTTTTTAAAGGTTTTATTTATTTATTTGATAGAGGGAGAGCACAGGCAGGGGGAGGGGCAGGCAGAGAGAGAGAGAGAGAGGGAGAAGCAGGCTCCCCACAGAGCAGGGAAAGCCCAATGTGGGCCTCAATCCCAGGACCCCAGGATCATGACCTGAGCTGAAGGCAGTCGCTTAACCAACTGAGCCACGCAGGTGTCCCTAAACAAGTATTTATTGAATTCATTTATCCTGTTTTTAAAGATCCACAGAGTAGGAAAAGAATTAACGAAACAAGATGGGATCGGGAGGAAGACAAACCATAAGAGACTCTTAAACTCACAAAACAAACTGAGGGTTGCCAGGGGGACGGGGGTAGGGAGAGGGTGGTGGGGTTATGGACATTGGGGAGGGTATGTGCTATGGTGAGTGCTGTGAGGTGTAAACCTGGCGATTCACAGACCTGTACCCCTGGGGCTAATAATTTTTAAAAAGATCCACAGATATAGTCTCATAAAATGACAGTTTTCATGTGTCTTCCATGTAAATGTAGTTGTAAAGAATACTAACTCTCTCTTGAGGTGAATGTAAGCGGTTTGATCTGGATTTCTGTTTTCCCCTTTCTTTTACTTATTCAACTTAAACACTTGGTATATTAGTTATCTATTGCTAAATAACAAGCCATTCCTAAATTTAGTGGTGCTTAAAACCACTATTTATGTATACCCAATTCTGTGGGTTGGCAATTTGGGAGGGACTTCCCTGGGATGGCTTTTCTCTCCGTGTGGTAATACTGGGCTTACACCTGTGTTGGTGGTCAGTTGGTAAGTTAGCTGGGGCTGGCTGGTCCTGGATGGCCTTACTCACCTCTCTCGTTGTTGGTTAAAATGAAGCAAGTGGACCATGTTCATCAAGCAGACTAGCCCCTGCTTCTTCCCACAGCAGTTGGATTCCACAAGAAGAGAGGGCAATATTCAGTGCACAAGCACTTTCCAAGCCTCTGCTTGTGTCACATTTGCTAATGTCCCAGTGGCCATCGAAAGTCACATTGAGGGGCACCTGGGTGGCTCAGTGGGTTAAAGCCCTGCCTTTGGCTCAGGTCATGATCCAGGGTCCTGGGATCGAGCCCCGCATTGGGCTTTCTGCTCAGCGGGGATCCTGCTTCCCCCTCTCTCTCTGCCTGCCTCTCTGCCTACTTGCGATCCCTGTCTGTCAAATAAATAAATAAATAAAATCTTTAAAAAAAAAAAAAAAGAAAGAAAAAAAAGAAAGTCACATTGATAAGCCCAGAGTCAATCTGAGAGGCCACTACACAGGGGTATAGATTCATTGAGGGTTCTTACTATAATGATCTGTCACATTTGGGTAGTAAGGTGTGCTTCTTGGGGAGAGAGATATTCAGATAATATTTAAAGAATGTCTTAAATATTCATAGTAACCACAAGAAATGATAACATTAATAATAAATAACTGTTTACTAGGGACTTATTATGGCCATTAATAATGCAATTTAAAAACATTATCTCTAGACTTTATAGCAATTCATAGGTAAGAATTAAAATCCCTGATTAATCAGTGAGAAAAGAGAGGTTCATATATGTTAAGTAATTTGCCCAATGTCCGCAGCTAGAATGTGGCTTAAAATTGTCACATAATTCATAGGTGGATTACTCTGGGGCCCTATTTCCAGAGTACATCTATCAGAAGGCACCACCATACCTATTAGGTGTAGGCGCTGATGTAGCAGTGAACGAGACAGATGGGGTTTCCACTTGATGGCCCTATAAGATGGACTACCATTATTTATTAAGAGGGTTCACCTACTACAGTTCTGTAGCTTAATTCACAATATCCCTTGTAACCCTTTCTACCTTTACTTCCTGTTGTAGTCCCAAGAATGTTCATTACTTTAGTTAGGCCTGCTTAAATTAGGCCCACTTAGACTTAAATTTACTGACCAGCAGATGTGTGTATTTTGATCTCTGAGTCATTACTCATACCCTTTCTTCCTCCTGCCAGTTGGTATTTATCTTCCTGTGTTTCTATGGCATCTTTCCTTGTCATTTCCTGCCTCAGAGGATTTACTCTAGATTCATAAAGCCCCATCGATCCAACTCAGCCAATTTAGCACCTAACTTAGATATGATCTTCTGTTGTTACTATTATCACTATGCATCTAATCTCATGTCTTGATTATAATTACCTAGAAAGCAAGATCTATCTGGTTTTTCCTGCCCAACCTCCCAAAACAGAGTAGATTCTTATTACGTACTTACTGATGAATTTTATATATGGTACATAATGTGGAGAAAGTTTTCAGCTATATATCTGGGAATAAGAGCCTATCGAGAAAGGAATTTTACCATGGAGTTTATTTCCTTTTGGCAACAGATGCTAGAGGTTTCATTTTAGTTTGAGTCCAAGCATTACACGGCCCTAATACTCTGTTTTGATAATGGGTAAACCTTTTCTGTTAGCAGAAAAGTACATACATAAATGCACAGATAAGGTTTTCATATTTGCCCTTGTTGCTTCTCTTATCTTAAATAATAGATAAAAAGCCAGAAGCCATTGTCAACCATTCCAACTCTGAAAGCAAGAGTATTATCACGGAACAGATACCACCACCAGCTCAGAATACCTTCTCTGCCTCTTCAGCTAGGAGAGTGAGTATTTTGGAACTTACTTGAATATTATATTTCTCTACTATGGTTACATACAGTTTGAAAGGCCTTAAAGATGCACTCTTCATATAATATAGATACATCTTGCCTGTCCTTGTCTGCTTAGTCTGCGTAACAAAATACCACCAACCAGATGGCTTTAAACAATGTAAATGTATTTCTCACAATTCTGGAGACTGGGATGTCCAAGATCACAGAGCTAGCTGAGTCAGTTCCTAGCGAGGTCTCTCTTCCTAGTGTGCAGACGGCTACCTTGTCTCCAAATATTATAGTCATATTGGGCAGAGCTTCAAAGTATGGATGTTGGGGGGGTGCACAACCATTGCATTATAACATTGCCCACAAAAGCTACAAATCCATCACCAAATTTGGCTACAGTGTGTTTAAATAACATAGGATATAGTGACCTGAGACCAAAGAATTTTGTCCATTGCTTATTTTCTTCATATCTAAGGCTAAGTAAGGTAAGTATATGTAAAGTTCAGACTGGGTTAGGAGGATAGCTAGCATTCAGTATTAATTGATTCGATGACTTACGTCCTTTTTTTACTTCTTGTTTAAAATTTTACTTTCATAAATAAAGTCTTGGCAGTACTCATCATAATGAGTAGAGAGCAGAGGTAGAAAGAACTTGTCGTAATACCAAAGACACCTCCTCCTGCAGTTCAGCCCAGACCTCTAAGAAGCTATAGGCTTCTAGGCAGTGAGATGGAGTTGAATAATGACCTTGCTCTACAAAGGATACAGTTAGTTTTGAGATTAAGAATTGATCTGAGTTCTTGGGAGGAAAGTTGTCGAAAAACTCTATGGTTTTGTAGACACTAACTTATACCGATCTTAGTGCCTCATGAATTGAAAAGACATGATTATGGTATCATTGTGGAGACGAGGAAGCAAAGGCCTGGCTGCTTATTTATTCCCATGAGCACCGCTTTGATTCCGTAGCAATGTCTCCGAAAGAACCCGGACCTCCCTCCTCACCCAGGCATTTAGCTGTACCTCACATAATCCCACTGCTTCTAAGTACGACTAGACTTCTTGCTTTCTTTTAATTTATTTTATTTCTTGTTTTATTTTTGAGAGAGAGAGTGTGCATGACTCTCAGAATCAGGGTGGCTTAGAAAGAGCTGGAGGGAGTACATGAATATATCCATTCAGGGACTAAGTAAAAGAGAAAGTCTAAGTGTGAGCTGGAGATGAGTGATTTAGTGTCTCTATTGCATTTTCACTCCACCAGGCAGTAAAGGTGGCCTGATAACCTGGAGAAAGACCGAAGCCATCTTGCAGAGGTCCCCCAGGTCCCAGTCATGGATCACTGACTGCCGTTCGAAAGAGCAGCTACTTCAGACCGGTGTTTGGGCCTAACACTAGTCTATGATGTTTTCTGTGGTTTATGGCAAAATGAGATGAAGACAATGGAAGCTTTTCAGAAAGCTCTCTTTTCTGAGGTTAAAATGTTTTTCTTTTTTTAATGAAATGATAGTGATGGAAATGGTAAGCAAGTGTTTAAAAGATGTTGTCCTGGCAAAATCTAGACAGATGGTAATTCTGTGACTTCTGCCATTTTTCTTCTTTTTTAATTTTGCTGCATGGTGAGATCTGAAACACTTGGAACTGCTGCCCAAGATCAAATAAACTATTTTCTTGAAATAAGCAATTAGAATTTGAGTGGAGTGAGTTTTAATATTTTTTTTAAGATTTTATTTATTTATTTGACAGACAGAGATCACAAGTAGGCAGAGAGGCAGGCAGAGAGAGACGGGAGAAGCAGGCTCCCCGCTGAGCAGAGAGCCCCAGGACCCTGAGACCATGACCTGAGCCGAAGGCAGAGGCTTAACCCACTGAGCCACCCAGGCGCCCCGAGTTTTAGTATTTTTATTACTGTTAACTTAAATCAGCTTACCACAGTCTTACCACAGTACCTTAAAACGTATTTATACATTGCCTCATCGGTGTTTTCTAGTCTTCACATGTTATAAGGAGGAATTAAGCTTATTATCACCATTTTACAGGTGAGCATGTTGAGACCTAGAGAAGTAAAATGTCCCATTTTCAGTTACACAGTCGAGCAAGAGAAGATGTTTTTACTAGAACGTGGATCTCCTGGTGTTCTAGGTCAGTACTCATTGCTAAGAGAGCAAACAGTGTTTAATTTCTCAGAGAGCAACTCTGTCAGTAGGAGCACTGTGTTAAGAATCTGAGGCTATTTCTGGCTCAGGGAGAAAGGGAGCCTTGAGCAGTTACTAGCGTCTGCCAGGTGAGGAAAGGAACATTGGCAGAAAGCCTGCCACGTGTTTGTTCTCCTTGTACTGCCCGATACTGCCTCGCTGAACTTAGTTAAGTGTGGGAAAAGGCAAATAGGCTGAAAAGAATCATCAGGACCTTTTTTTATTCCTCCTTTTCTTTTCTTTGCTTCTTCCCTCATAGTTCTCCTCCAGCCTTTTCAACAAGCCAGAAGAGCCCAGAGATGAATCTCCTTCTTCGTGGAGACTGGGACTCAGAAAAACTGGCAGCCACAACATGCTGAGTGAGGTGGCCAATTCTAGGGAGGCTCTGAGGGACCGAGGCTCCTCCATCTACCGGTCGTCATCAAGCCCTCGGATTTCTGCCCTGCTGGACAGCAAAGATAAGGTGCAGTTTAGGCAGGGTGCGGGGGAGTTCGTAGGCAGTTCCCTTCTGTGGAAATTCAGTCTCAGAGCAAAGGAAAGTGTGTTATAGTCCCTGATTTGATTTTGGAAGTACAAAGTCTTTAAAGGGAGATGGCACATTGGTAGTTAAATCAGTTAGCGATTTGCTTGCTATTACTACTCCGCCAAAAAAGAAAAACCCTTTATCTTTTGGCATAGCTTATGTTCGTTTTTCCTTACCCTCCTTACCTAGGACAAATTAATTAATTAATTAATTAATTAATTAAATCAGAAACAGGAAGATTTGGATATGGCCTAAGTTTCCCTTGAACCAATACCAGTAATTTATTCTTTCAGTGTTTGGAAGCAAAGTTCCTTAGCTGGACGTTTTTTTTTTTTTTTTGTTTGTTTGTTTTTTTTAAGATTTTATTTATTTATTTGACACACACAGAAATCACAAGCAGGAAGAGAGGGAGGCAGAGAGTGGGGGAAGCAGGCTCTCCACTGAGCAGAGAGCCCGATGTGGGACTCGATCCCAGAACCCCGAGATCATGACCTGAGCCGAAGGCAGAGGCTTAACCCACTGAGCCACCCAGGCACCCTGGACTTTTGATCCTAATGAAGCTCGGGCAAATTAGCACGTAGGCAAAACATGTTTCAGTGCCTCATTTTTTTCATGACCAGATGTCTGATCAGACTTACTTCACAAATCCCTCATCCACGTAATCATCCAAGATCAGTGCATTGTTATTTCTTAACTTTTGGTTCTAGATTTTCTAGAGCTCCCCTGATGCCCTTCTCTGGGGTCAGGTCTGCCCTGTAACCATAGTGCCCTTGCTCAGGATTATGTTTCTGGAGATCCTGAAGGAGAGGAGGCCTTATTGGTTGGATGAACTCTGCCGCATGTTAGTCGTACATGAAGCTGCATTTCAAAGGGAAGATAGGCTGGGGAAGAAATAAGGCTCATTTCATGAAGAACCTTCTGTTTGTGGCTTTCAAAGGCTCCGTCTCTCCTGACAGCCACTGCTTGTGTCATTTGTGCTGCTGTTTTCCTGTTTTTGATCATCTTGGCTTTTCCCACGAGAATTATTTCCCTACATATTGGTTTTTAATGGAGGAAATGTAGGAATCAGCCTTTGGAAGGTAACCTTTTGTAATACCGCTCAAACCAGAATTGGTATTGGATCAGGAAATAAGATGATACAGGTGTATCGCTGTCTGCTTTTTCACCCAGAACGTTACACCGTGTCAGTGTTGTACCTTCTCTGTGCTTCACTTGTTTTGATTTTACAGGAGAGAGAAAACAAAAGCTATTTTAGTTCGCTAGCCCCCCGGAGGCTCAGCAGCACAAGCGACATTGAAGAAAAGGAGAACAGGTAATCCAAATACAGGCCAGAAGATGGTCCTCTGGGGGCAGGTGCCCCTGGCCCATTATGGATTGTTTATCCCTTCTGCTTAGAGCTCCTCCCAGCCCTAGCTCTCGTGCTTTGCCAGTTCTTCACCCTTCACGCTCTCACTTCAGCTTGGGTATTATTGTCTTTAGGAAGTCTTCCCAGACCCTTCCAAGGGTGAATTTGTTTAGTACACCAACAGGCTCTGTGAAGGTAGGGTCTGTATGTCTGGTTTCTCAGGGACCCCTAGTACCTAGCACACGACCTACTCCATAGTAGATAAAAAGATATTGTTCTTAATTAGTGATCAACTTCTAATGTGTATGTACATAAAATTTCAAGTCTTCCTCATCAGTGAAAATGAATGTGAGGACTTTGAGATACTGCTGCATCTCAGGCAGAGCCTGATAGAGAGCCTTGCTTTTCGTTCTTTTTTATTTTATTTATTTGACAGAGATCACAAGTAGACAGAGAGGCAGGCAGTGAGAGAGAGAGGGAAGCAGACTCCCTGCTGAGCAGAGAGCCCAATGCAGGACTCGATCCCAGGACCCTGAGATCATGACCTGAGCCGAAGGCAGCAGCTTAACCCACTGAGCCACCCAGGCACCCGAGAACCTTGCTTTTCAAGGTGTGGTCTTCCCACTCAGCTGCACTGGTATCACCTGGAAGCATGTTAGAAATGCAGAATCTCAGGCCCCACCTCAGACCTGCTGAATTAGAACTTGCATTTTAACAAAATTCTCTAGGTCATTCAAATGCACATTGAAGTTTGAGGACTGTTACGGAGAGCCGCAGCTTTGGTCGCAAAAGCCCTGAGTGAACAGTTGTGAATTAGAAATCCTACTCCTGCCCTTTCCTGGATGGCTTTTATTTATAACACTAAGTAGACTTCCAGCATGTTCTTCTCTTTTCCTCTTTAGTTACCTCTTTCCCTTGTGACAGACTTCCTCATCTTCCCCATCATCCTCTTCTCTGCTTACTTAGGAACAATCTGTTGGTTTTGTAAAGCCCTTTAAAGGAGAAGCAAAAGTGAGTTCTCATTACCAAAGAATTGGAGACCTTTGATACAAGGATTTGGTACCTGTTGAAGTTAGTTGGCTTTGAAGTTGATAAAAGAAAGCAGGCAGTAGTAATACTTGACCCATCCTTTGTGTATACAGAAAACAGGTTCATATAAAACAAAGCATCACTCGAAAAGTGTTTCTATTTCTTTAGCCATATTACAGTTCCTGTCCCTGGCTCTTCTCTCCCAGTTTGGAGTGTTTTTGTTTGTTTGTTTTATTTTGGTTTTGATTATTTACTTGCAGTAGAGAGAATGTGAGTCAGGGGTGGGGGGCGGGGCAGAGGGGGAAGCAGACTCCCCGCTGATCAGAGAGCCTGATGTGGGGCTCAGTCCCAGGACCCTGAGATCATGACCTGAGCCAAAGGCAGACGCTTAACCAACTGAGCCACCCAGGCACCCCTCCCAGTTTGCATTGTATCATGGACAAAACTGGTGGCAGGAATCAGTGCTTTGTTTTCTTTTTCTTCCATGGCTCTCCAGAGAATCAGCTGTTAATCTAGTGAGGAGTGGTTCATACACACGGCAGCTGTGGAGGGATGAAGCAAAGGGAAGTGAAACTCCACAGACAGTTGCTCCTTCTACCTATGTATCAACCTACTTGAAAAGGTATCAGGTTCCACGGGGCTGGGGATGATTTTTCTTCACTCTGGTTATGGGCGTATGGGTAATAATTGCATGCCATTTTATATCCAATTAGCACCACAAAAATGAATCAAAAATGAATTACTTTTAGATTTCTTGAGAGTAACATCTTGACTAATTTTAAATTAACATTTATTTTTCTGACTGAAGTAAAGTAAGCTAATTCCAAATTCTCACCACAGACAGATCCGAACTTATACTCTTTCTTCTCAGTCCTATTAAAATCTTCAACTGGAAGCGACTTCTAGTAATCCCCGAGCGGGACTGAATCTAAATCACCTTTGTCCAGTAGCTAGTTTTCCTTTTTCTAAAACTTGAGTAGTTCTCATCTCAAGTTACATTTTTATGGGGAGGAAGGGAGGGACCCTATAGGGTGGTGAGGTGGGTGGGTAATGGGGAGTTTTGAATTGCATTAAAGAAGTTTCATATTGAAGCCTGTTAATTTAGGGACTTGAGTTGTTTTTTTTTTTTATGACTTTAATGGCCCTCAGATCCATCAAGATGTGAAACTCGCAAGTTTGGTGCAGAGAAGGTACATGGGTTTCCTTCCCCTTTTCTCATTTATATATTCTCTTTTCTGCCATTATTTTCTTTGCCATGTACCAGCCAGCAAGCAAAGCACCTTTGCCAGAGCCATTAAGCTATAAGATACACTTAACTAGTGTTTTGATTTGAACTTTGCTGCTGATGTGGAAGAGTCTGGCTCTCATTGCTTACTTTGAATTCTTTCTTCACTTTCATTTACTCAACCCTTCCAGCTGCCTCTTCATGCCATGGGCTTCATCATTAGGTTTTATGGATGATTGGTTGGCTGCCCAAGAAACAGCCTTTTGCCATAAAATACGTGTTTGGGTTCAAAACTTATTTCCACTGGATTGAAGGAATCTTGTCAACTAGTTAAGTCAGAACGTGGGAATTAGCGAGCTATAAAACAGCCACTGTGGCCTTTGGATGATCTTCAGTTCTACAGGGGTAGTGGGTAGTTCAGTGATCTCACTAAAGCTTCATTTTATATACAAACTCGGTGTTTTTGGCTCAATGAAGCTATCACTTACCTGTCTTCAGGGCTAAGGTCTTAGTCTATCTAGATAGATCATTACCTCTTATGGTTGCATCCAAGACCAAGAAAACTTTTCTAAGAAAGTAACGTTCTAGATCTAGGAAAGAGAAAGCTGCATTTAATTTCCAAGCATGTTGTTACATTGTGGTGGGGTGGTTCTTTTTCACCATCCAGATCATTAACACATGGGTTGAGTGAGTAGCATCTGGATAGATAGATACATACATATAGTTGGCATAATTATAGTAAACAGAGGAGAAAGGGACTGCTTCTGTTTAGGGTGGAAAGCATGCTTAATTATGAGTTCTTTTTGAAAGATCCACAACTTGCTTAATACTTTGGATTTCCAAACCTCTGTCACCCTTAAAGCATTTTTTGATTATACAAAATCTCATTTTATGATCTTTTCAAAAGGGAAGAATTGTATGCTATCACTATTTTAAAAAGAAAGTGTGAGAAGATGTGTGGCCATCTTGGGTCCACCAGTCCTCAGCATACTTTCCATTTTCTTCTAGTTCATCTCTTGTCCTTGGGCAGAAATTTCTTTCCTGTGTCCCAGTAAAATGCATCTTTACCAAAGAAGGCTTCATAGTTTGTCTTGGTCACCGCTGCTTGTGTCTCATTACTGTAATAGTCAAGACTTTTTAAAAAAATTCTAATCCAAATAATTTTTTGCTTCGATTGAGATGGTTCTTTCTTATCTTCATTTGAAACAAAGGAAAGTTACCTTCTGTTGCCCATGCGGTATTATGTTCTACACTTAAAACCTTGAATCCTCCCAAGACACATTTTAGGCTAAATAACCACAATTCTCAGAGACTTCCCCCCCCCCCACAGAGCTTTTTTATTCTTTTCCACTCTTTAATTTTAAATTGCTACTCCAAAACCTCCAAATTCTTGGTCTTACTTTAGCTTCTGCACTGCTACTTCTGTATCAGGTAGACATTTGGGGTTGCATGATTTTTTGCCTTGGGGTTTGTTGGGAATTACTTTTTCTAATGAAATTATTCTATTTGCTAATACTTCGCAGTCCCTCTTCTGTTCCTATATACTACTCTTCTGCTTTCTCTTATTGCGTATCCTCTGTCCTCCATGTTCCTTCACTCTTGTGGATGATTGACAGATGCCTGCTTGCTGCCAGGGACCCAGCTCTAGCTGGGGTTGATCACTCACTCCACTTCCCAGTTGCCGTACCCTCTCTTTGGTCTACATTCCTTTTAAAATGCACAATCTTGGGGGGGAAGGTGGTGCTGGGAAATGGTGGGTGAGCAGCATGTCCTGAAGAAAGTGACTGTGTGCTGTTTTGCAGTGCTTCATTTGGTAGAAGTAGTGACCCCACAAGTCCCTACATTTCAGCCAATCGCAGTCCATCTGCTACCTCACCCATTACCATTGGTTCATCTACCTCTCGGGGCAGCAAGTGGCAACCTGCCTCTTCTTGCCCTGCACCAATCAGTGCAAACACTACTGCATCTGTACACCATGGCAGGTAAGGCTTCTTGGGGCCATTTGAGTTACAGTCATCAAAACTCATGCCTCTAGATGCACATATGAGATTCAAACCGAAGGGACTTTGGCACTGGGGATGCAAGTTTGAATTCTTGTGAAAATGTCTGTGATTTAACAAGGATGTTTTGTTTGGACTTGTATTAGCCACTCAGCAGTTGCTCATTGGGTATATATATATCTTGGTACTTGGTGTTTAGGCATCAACTTAAAATGACTTCTGTTGTGTGATTTCTGTGTAAGGGTCATCCTATTATGGGAAAACACATATTAAAAATATCCCCATACTTCACTTACATTAATTTTCCAGTAATTGTGAGTAGGAATCTTTTCTACTTACTCTTTTTTTCAGAGGATGAGATACAAACCCGAATCAGAAGAAAAGCTAACTCTTGTTCCAAAAGCTTCCTATAGTTTTCTGAAAATTCCCAGTCAATGAGAGCATTTTGCTGGAAACACTGTGGGAGGGAAGAGATTTGTGTTTGTCTAAATTTGTCTAGATTTGTGGTATTCCTGGGGCGATGGTGTCTACTCTGTCTAAGGGGTAGCATGGGGGTAGCATGGGCAAGGCTTCATTGTGAGAGTGCAACAGAACTTCAGCTGTGGTTTTGACTATGGCTTTTGACCCTGTATGTATGGTCAGAGATCTTTTTTACTTTGGGGTATGGCAAGGGGACCCCTTTTTGAGGGCTTGTTTCTAGAACTGACACAAAGAAAATGAAAAACGATGATAGTGTTGCTTGTTGCTGCAAGAACACTTGCTTATGGTAGTGCTTGATTGATTTTTGTCCATTTATTAGATTTCTTTCCTTAAAATAACTGGTGAGCATTGGTTGGCTCAGAGGAATAGCCTCGGGTTGGATTATTATTAATAATACTATATAGTTATGTAGAAATTTATTAGACCCTCACAATAATTCATCTGCACAGGCATAGTAAATATTATACCATAGATAAAGAAACTGAAACACAGAGAGGTTACTTGCTTAAGTATTAAGAGCTAAGACTAGGGAGAAACAGTAATGGCCGCCATTTGTTGAAACCTGTCATGTGCCAAGCATTGGCTTAGGTAATTACAAAAATTACATGAGCAATTGGTTTACTCCCATATAGCAGTAAATCTAAATAATTAAGGCTAAAATATGATAAAGGTTTATCTTTTTTTCTCTCACTTAAGAAAGTCCAGCAATAGGCAGGGCTGGCACCATAGCTTTGAAGTCATTAAAGAAACCTGGATCCTAATGTCTTGCTGCTTCACAATCCTTAAATCATGCTTCCATTTCCATGGGTTGCCTCATGGCACAAAACAGCTGTTGAAGCTCTAGGAGTCATGACTGCATTCTAGACAGGAAGAAGGAAGAAAGGGAGAAATACACAAAGAGGGAAGGCCTCTGAACGGAAGTTCCCCCCCAAAGCACCGATTTCTGCTTATGTCTCACTGGCTACCTCTTGCAGCCAGGGAGACTTTGGAAAATGTGAATTTTTAGCTAAGTACAATGCTGGCCTCAATAATGTATGGGTTCTGTTAGGAAGAAAAGAAAATGAATATGGTTCAGGCAACTCGCTATCTCAGGCACACGTACATTGTTTTTAAAGAGGCCTCCAGTATATGAAGTACCATTTTAATTTTATAGACATGGAAAGTGAGACCCAAAACTTACTCATCTGCTCAAGGTCACATATCTAGTAAGGAATCGAGGTAGAGTTTGAACCTGGATTTGTCCACGTCAGAGATCCTGTTTAACTATTTTGTTTCCACTGAGCTTATGTTTTGTTTTTGTCAATACTAAGTATTTGTCAATACTAAGTGTTCTTCATAAATTATTTTATTTAATTATCACAAGACCCCTGGATTTTATGGTATCGTTATTCCCATTTTACAGATGAAGAGACTAGAGAGGTTAACTTGGCTGCAATGTAGCATCAGTGGTTCCAGAGCCTCTGACGCCTGCTTTGGAGCTTTTCCTATTCTGGCAATCTTTTTTTTTTTTTTTTTTTTTTAAGATTTTATTTATTTATTAGAGAGGGTGTGTGTAAACAGGAGGAGCAGTAGGCAGAGAGAGAAGTAGGCTTCCCACTGAGCAAGGAACCCACTATGGGACTCAATCCCAGGTCTCTGGGATTATGACCTGAGCTGAAGGCAGACACTTAACTGGCTGAGCCACCCAGGCGTCCCTTCCTATTCTGCTCCTAACATTCTACTTGTAAAATCGTACCACACATCAAAATAATAGTTCAAGTCGTATTCTGTAATTCAGTAAAAGAAAATCCTTGGCATTTCTATAGCAGAAAAAACCACAGAGAGAACAAAACATGTTACTAACCTAAAAAGAATGTCAGGTAAGATTTTGATAAGTGTAATTTTTTATAGCTTTGTTTCTGGCTAATTATATTGGTATGTCCTATATAGACTTATACATCTTGTAAGTCTGAGGAATTTAATTTCACCTTTTTTCTGAGTTATTAATTGCTTCTGGGGAAGTGGCTTGTGTTTTTTAGATATCACTTCAAAACTGTTCTTTTTTATATTTGCATCTAGGTACCCTGTTTAGATTTTACAATCTGATTGTTGCTTTCAAGCTTATTCTAATGATGTGATTATTTGAAAATGAGCTTATAGCTACTTACAAGCATTTCTGGTAATTGTGAGTAGGTGAAAAAAAAACACCAGATTTTTAGCATTCTTTATTTTCATTGCTTTTCCCATCTCTGTGAATATCAATTTTGGATCTCTGTTACCCCAGCAACAAGCTGTGACATCACAAATGATAGCTTTTTGGGTGGAGAGCCAATGGTTGCTCTCAACTCTTTGTTAAGAAACAAAGATCTTGTTTTCATGTAAATGAGTTTAATTATACAGCTTGCTGTTGGAAAGTCTGCAGTTAAGGTTACATATAGAATCTTAATAGTTTTTGTTTCTGTGGCTCATGTATACACTTAAGGATACAGGCAATCAGGCCATTTGGTTAAATAGAGAGCAGTTGCTGAGCTAGGTGAGAAAGAACTAGACATACTGAGGTTGTATTTATCACATATATCTGGAATCCAAGAAGATGGTCATCTAATCTAGGCTGAGGACTACCACAGACTCCTACTGCCAAGAATTAAGGGGCAGGTGGAGATTAATATCGTAAGTGACTTTAGTGTTGTTTTCATGTGTGTGGAGAGGCCCTGCCTCTGTGTGTGCGTGTGTGTGGAGACCAGATGGTACTCAGGAATCATTTAAAGCACTCTTGCATATGTTACTATCTTCCTCGTGCCATAGCTAATTTTTTAAAAAAATTTTAACCTTAAAAAAAAAAAAAACATGAAATAGAACTCTTTGGGCAGAGGATATCATATTAAATGTATAATCATACTGTTCTAAGATTTAAGAGCTCAGAATTTAAAAAACCAGTCAACCAGCAAATAAAATCTGAGCCAGAAGATTCTCTAGTTAAACTTATCTCAAACCCTCTGTCTGTGTGCTAATGCTTTGTTATGTAGCATGCCTAACCATTCTCTTTCTGCTTGTGTTTTTGTGTTTTTGGTTTCAGGACTCCTTACAAATCCCAGGCTGACTCAACAACAGAGAAAACAGTAGACAATGTCTCTTCTAGCACCCCGCTCTGTGTGATCACTAATCGCCCTCCACCTAGCACTGCCAATGGGGTTACAACTGCCACTCAGCTCTCCGCTCCTGGAACAGACTCCTCTGTGGAAGCCCGGGACAGGAGGAGGTATGTTCTGTACTGATTGCATTTGCGGGATTCTGCTTTGAGGTAGGATAAAGGAGTGGGTGTGAAATGAAGTCTTTCCCCCAATCCCAAATATATTTGTGAAAGTAGATCTTTATATTACAGTTTGGGTTTTCTATTTTGCCTCTGGGAGACTTTTGATGGAGCTCTTAATTATTTCTGATTATTTAACATACTTACTCTGTTATGAATATAGGCATATCTCTTTTCCACTTGTCTTATAAAAGAAATCCGGGTCAGGCATGTTTTCCCCATTTTGTGATGGAGAACCTGAAGCACGGAGAAGGATCTTTTCTTTTGTTCTGAGGAGTCGATGAAGACTTTTCCGGCAGCAAAGAAAAGCAGTATCATGAAAAAGACTCAGAGAAATAAAGCTAGGATATCATTTTAATTCGTTAAAAAATACCAGAAAAAGAACTCAATAGTATATGATAATATGGTGGAAGGATAGGGACTGGTTACTGTACAATTTCTTCCAAGAAAAATTATGAGAGAGCAGTCATGATTGGCACAGGAGAGGTTTAAGGTAGATGCTAAGAAGAACTTTTTGATAGCATTAGGAGATCTTGGAAAATGTGACCAAAAAAAAGGGACATTTTCATCCACTTGAAAAAGTGGAAAAAATAGAATGCCCTCCATTTGGCTGTTTCAGATCTACTTAAAAACTGAAGCCATACTTATCCCTTTTTAAGACTGGAAAAAGAAGTGAAATCTTATCAAAATTTAAATTTCCGTCTGGCTTCATTTTCTTTTGAATATCCAAAGGAAGAAGATTTTATGTTTGTGAGCGTGTGTATATGTGTAATAAATCAAGAAGTCTTATCATCTATAAGAATAATGAGTTAAACTTTTTATGTTTGTTTATTGTAAAGACAGTTCGAAGAATAAAATTCTGAGAAGTTGAAGAGAGATGTTAAGTGATTGAAGAATAGTGTTTTTCTTCTTCCTTTCTTTTAATTCCTTCCTTTTTTCATTTCTTTATATAAAAATAGAAGGAAGTCAGTTTTCTGGGCTAACACATTACAGAGCGTCATCTTTTCATTGGTTTCCAGCTAAGGAAATTTTAATAAATCAATCTTGAATATTTAATGTTTATATATTTAATAGCTCAGATGGAATTAAGGTATTATTAGTTTCATCTAGGAACTAAATGTAAAATTAATTTTTTTCTGAATATTAGGTGAAAAAAACTCCCTTTAAAAAATCCTTCTGGGCTGAGGCAAGTAAAATGAATTAAATTCATCATTAAGATCATGATCCCTGAAAGGATGGCTAAATCAGGCTTTTTATCAAACTGCATTATTAAATACTCATTGCATGCACCATTATTTAGAGAAACCTAGAGAGATAGTAACTGTCTTCTGGGATTTTTACAACCTGCAAACAAAATGTAGCGCCTGCTACAGATTTTAATTTTGTTTTAGAAGTTTTACTTAAGCTACAAATATTTATTGGTTACATACTGTGTACCATATATTGTCACTAGGACATAATTCCTCAAGAAGCAGCAAATATAAGAATAGAAGAATTATATCAAAACATCACTGAATTACATGAATGTGGTGTATCAAGGTAAGTGCATTTTTAGAATGGTGCAAGATAATAGGGAGATATTAGATATTTATTAGATAACAAATAATCTTTATTAGACAAATAAGGTAATGGCACAAGATAAATAAAAAGATATTGCATAAAGAGCTGTTGGACTCAGTCACCAGCATTCATTCTGTTCAAAATATTTATTGAGCATCGGCCATTGCAAAGTACTATGGTGAACCTCGGCAATACAGCAGTGAATGAGAAAAACAGTCTGAGCTCTTGGCAAACATATATGGTAAGTGAAGAAAAACAAACACTAAATAATGTGATATATACTGTGAAGAAGTAGTATGAGTTGTTACGACAAAAGATCTGCCTACAGAAGACTTCCTTTCTCCTGCGGGATCGGAGAAGGTTATCTTAAGAGGATGATACTCAAAGTGTAAAGGGCAAATAACAGCTGGGAGAAGGGGATAAACATTCCTGCCAGAAAATGTAACTGTTGAAAAGCCACTAAGGTGGGAAGGTCCTTGATCCTTTGGAGAATTTGGGGGCGGGGGGGAGATTTTATTTTTTTTGACAGAGAGAGACACAACGATCTAGGGAACACAAGCAGGGAGAGCAGGAGAGGGAGAAGCAGGCTTCCCGCTGAGCAGGGAGCCCACTGCAGGGCTCCATCGCAGGACCCTGGGATCAGGACCTGAGCCAAAGGCAGACGCTTAACAACTGAGCCACCCAGGCCCCTCCTTTGGAGAATTTGAGAGAAGATGTTGTGGCTTTGGGGTAGAGAGTTAGGGAAAGAGCAGTCTAAGGCGAGGCTTGAGGAATAAATAGGAGCTATATAATGCAAAGTCTTAGAGCCAAGGACAAAGATTGTGGATGTATATGTTAAGAACCATGATGAGCTACTGCGAGCATTTTTTTAACAGCTTTATAAAGATGTAATTTATATACCGTATAATTTAAGGTGTATAGTTCAGTCATTTGGGGTATATTCACAGATATGTGCAGTGATTACCACAGTCAATTTTAGGACATTGTCATCATCTTAAAAAGAAATCCCATACCTTTCGTTATTGGCCCTCTTGCTCCCACCCCCATCTCCCCATTCCCTAGACCTCAGCAACCACTGATCTACTTTCTGTTTCTATGGAGTTGCCTATTCTGGACATTTCATATAAATGGAATCAATATGTGGTCTTTGTGACTGACTTCTTTCACTTCGAATAATGTTTTCAAGGTTCATCCATGTAGTAGCATGTATCAGCACTTTATTCTTTTTTATGGCCAAACACTATTGTATTGTGAGGATATACTGCATTTTCTTTGCCATTCATAAGTTGGTGGACATTTGGGTTCTTTCCACCTTTTGGCTATTTTCAGTTATGTTACTGTGAACATTTGTGTACGAGTTTTTGTGTGGACCTATGTTTTTATTTCTCTTGGATATATATGTAGGCGCAGAATTGCTGAGTCTTATAGAAAATATCCAAAAAGCAAAAAGATAACATGACCTGACTTACATTTTTTAAAATTCTGGCTTTTAAACTCTGGTTACAGTAGTCCATATGAATTGGACATGGGAAGGATGGAAAGGAATAGATGTGGGAGGACCGGTAAGGACACCATTGCAGAAGAAAGGTGCATGAGAGAGAGCAGTGGCTTGCCCAAAGGTAGTAACAAAAGAGATTGAAAAAAGTGAATGGATTCGAAACTTATTTAGGAAAACATTTAGCAACATGGTAGATGAATTTATAAGGACCCCTTTCCCATTATAAACGTAGGAAAATAGAGTTGAGTGTAGAAAAGTGAAAGGAAACTGTGAAGTGACAAAAATGAGGAGAATCCAAAAGCCAGAATGGTTTGAGTGGCCCAGGGTTGGTATAAGACCTCTAGAACAGACGTCAGTGTCTGGAGGCTCAGATTTTAATGCCCATGCATGGGTGTACGAAGTATGGCTTTGGACCTGACTAGGTCAGGAGCTGTAAGTAAGAACCCATATAAAGCTGGAGTTCTCGAAAGGCTGCCCAGTTCATGAAAAGGATGCTTTGCCTGTGGCCTAAAGGAGTGTCAAGGATGGCGCCTATTCAAGGGTCTGAGCAGGGACAGAAAAGTCTTCTGTGGGAAATTTTTTACAACCCATATATATGTGTGGAAATCCCAAGCCAAGAATTTTATTTATTTGTTTGTTTGTTTATGTATTTATTTAAGAGAGAGAGCGCAAGCATGTGCAGTGGGGAAGGATAGAAGGAGGGAGAGAGAATCTCAGGCTGACTCCATGCTGAGTGGGGAGCCCGATGTGGGACTTGATCTCAGGACCCTGAGATCATGACCTGAGCTGAGACCAAGGGTTGGATGCTTAACCCAGTGCACCACCCAGGCACCCCCGACCTAAGCCGAGAATTTAACATAGAAACTAGGTCTGCATTCTTGAAACTCTGAGGCCATAGACACAAGCAATTTGAAACGACTGTGAAGAAACACATCGACAACCCAGGGTACCAAGGATTTCTATAAAACAGTTGCCTGTCAAAGACAAACTCACATAGGAAATGAACCACTCTGAGGAAAAGTTAACAGATGTGGCTTCTTAGATACTTAGCTACTTTTAGAAGAAGTACATGCAGATCACTATGTAGTAGAATTTTTGGATACAAATCAGAAACCTCAAACTATTATGTAATTTGGTAACAATAACTAGACGTGAACCAGTTGTAGTGAGGATAGACACATCTGTAAAAATGGCAAATTAATCAGAAGCGGTGCCTAGAATAAAATATTTTGAAAACGTGTTGTTCCTATATAAAGTCCTATTTAAATGGGAATCCACATATGTAAAGCCATCTATCAACCCTTTATTGACAGACTGCCATGTGCCAGGCACAGTTATTAGAGATACAAGGTCAAAGAAAACGTCTTTCCTGCCCTTGAGAGTTTAAATTTATCTATTGTGGGAAGGCAAACAAGTAAATCAAATAATACAGTCAGTTGTTAAGTGCTCTGATAAGGATGTGTATAGATTGCTATGGGAGCACAGAGCAGGGAAGACTAAATCAGACTGAGTAGGGTGACAGAGAAGGTATGCCAGAGGAGGTGAGTGGAGCTGAATTTTGAAGGCAGCTGGAAGTGAACTCTGAGTAGTAATAGGATGCTGGTATTTTAGAGGGCACACAAGAAATTCAAGAAACAAGTTTAATATGCCTGAAGCAGGGAGCAGGCAAGGCCCAGTGTTGTATTTCTGAAAGTGTCTTTGTGAAGTAGATTTAGATGAATCAAAATTTAAAAAAGAAAAAATCTGTGGGCAAATGAGTTTGTGAAAGAACGGTTAAACATAGTTAAACAGAATTACTCCAAAGCTGCCTCAGAATCCTTCCTCTCAGGGGGTGGGGGTGGGTGGGGGGAGTTGGGTGAGGAAAGGGGAGTGTAGGGGTGGTTAGAATTTG